CGCACATGCACAATACAATGACAAGACACAAACACAACGACAACACAACGAAGGCTTCTAGAATATTGCGATCATTATATAAGCGCATACCGATGTACTGGCATAACCAGATGTACATTTAATTAGCATATGCATACGGTATGTACTGATCAACGGTCTCTCTGCACATTTTGTGTAAACATAATTAAATCGCACGTGCAACGCAATTCCTTAAAAATAAATAAATACATAAATAACTCTTCCATGTAAAACACGTAAATTGTTATAATAAATAAATACATTATTTGTAAAAAACACAACACTACACAAGATATCAAAATACTTTAATACATAACAATTAATGCAAAAATAAAAAAAATAGCACACAAACTACAAAATCAAGATATATTTTGGCAGGGAGCCACTTAGGTCTGATTACATGTGGCAAGGTCAGGTTCGCTGACGATTTGATCAAACAAAGCATGCCGAAAAATGGAGAATGGCCACCATGAGAATGGTGATGATACTCTTGAATTGGAAGGGGCAAGATACAACCCTTGGCCCAAATGAAGGTCAGAGAGACTGCAATAAATACATAAGTAAAACTCTCACGTACTACACGTAATTTGTTTTAAATCTCAGCTTGTACACCGAATGTAATTCGTTTTTTATAATTAACCCAGAATGCCGCATATAAAAAATAAATACATAATACAATAACACATTCCTTCACACTCAGGTAATCAAAAAATCGTTAAAATCCTACTTAATGATAACATTTTTATAATCATTGCAATGTTGACAAAATCAAACGAAACATTATAATGTTACTTTCTGTTTATTCATATTAACAAAATAGTTATTCTAGGGGAAACATTTAGTACAGTAATAATATTAGTATTGTTATATATCTTTTTCCAAGATAGTCATTTTATAACTTTTACTGAGTTGTATTATAGATATACCTTTTTTGACATATATCTGAAAGAAAACCCTGACTTCATACATTCGCAGAAAAAAAAACATCGCTCTTGTGGGAAACAAGTTGAATAGTATTTTGCTTGTTGTCAATGGCATACCTGAATAACGCATTTTAAGGAAAGAACATAAATATTCATATTCATCGAGATAGCGCCAATAGTGGCCAAATTGCGAAATGAGGTCATAACAGCTTAATATCCTACTCATGCTTACGTCTGAGCAGCAAAGAATGACGTAGACCACGCCCATATGCATAATTATTGAAATACCACAGTTTACCAGTATCAGCATTTCTGTCTCCCAATCACACAGGAGTCATATCAGTGTTGACACATCACATATTGAAGCAAGTAAGGTGATGAATTGTTTTGTAGTGTAGTGTATACAATTACCGTTTATCAATGACGTGGTACCTTAAACTACAGCATACTAATCGTACTGTTTTTTTTATAATTTCAGCATTTACACCAAACATGAGAACATTGTGGACCTTCGCTTTATTATTTATTCTGGTCATCAATATAGAAGGCCAGGAAAACCCAGAACCTGTAAGTCCATTACTGTAACAGTTGTTCACACTTTCCATTGTACCCTGCTTGTACATACACTGTTTGGTTAAGAATATTAAAGAAAAAATGGGTTGAAAAAAACGAGAGAAAATATGGCCGCTCAGCCTTGTCAGCAAAATACGTCTGCTTACAGGCTAATCTTTGTGTAGCTATTTATATCTATCTGATGTTACGCAGAATATAGATTAATATGAGCGTTGTGCTATTCCCCTGTCTCTTTATCAAATACTGAATAACATACATATGAATGGTCATACCAACTCATTGTTTATAAAGTGTACTATATCTGACTACTTTGTACGTTTTTGGAAATTTCCTTGTCGACGTGGCACATATATATAATGTTATATAATGTGTGTCTGTGCTGTATAGTATGCGCTTGCATAATACTAGTAGTGATAACTTTCTCCTCTATATTTATGTTTTTTATATTTTCTCTTGGAGAATTTGTACATATATCTTCAACGTGAAGGCTAGTTATGATGACTAGTGTCCCAGTTGCATACCAGTAGCTATTTTAGGGTACGACCAACAAGCGTTTGTGAGGGCAAACAGCATAGTGATTGTTACAACATTCGTCCCGTACCCTAGTTGAGTGTGCAAATGATGTGGATGCTAAAGTTACTTTTAGAAATTCATTCACCGAGCATGCAACCCTGGTCAAAGCTCCATGTGCATGCATAAAGCCTGATTGATTCTATATCTCATTAAATTGCATGTTTTACACTTTACTTGACAGTTATTTCCCACATAACACATTCCAACAGTTAAATCTACATTGCTGCCTGTGCTACGAAAATTGTCTCGCTCTCATTTAATAATTTTTGTCGACGATGTTTATTAAAATAGTTGAAAATATCTACTTAGCCAGTGTATGGTAGACTCTCACGAACGGGTTGTTTTCAAAATTCGCTGACGGTTGAGTTCCAATTGAATCTCATATCAGACTCAGTATATCCAAAGGATGTTGCAGTAGTATTTCAGGATACAACACACGTGTTTATATGCAAACTTCTGTGTTTCTAAAGAAATGACCGATGCTATGGGCTTTTGAAACTACCAACAATCCTGATTCAATGCGTGTGCCAAATAAATAGGATAATGCAAAACTATAAGTGCTGAAAATGAATTTAAATACTATCATTGAGTCAGCGAATCAGCAGTGAGTTTGTATACTCATTATCACATTCACCGTATATTTAAAAGTATATTCACCAATGTCCTTGATTATATGTATTCCTGTATTATAACGATGATACAAATGAAAAAATGTTGGTATAATTATTATATTATAATTGTTGTTTTTTTAACAGGACACAGATGTCGGAATTTTGGAACAAGGTTAGTTAAATATAATTTTAACTATTGCAGTGTTTGTAATTGTAATTGTCGTGCTATTTCAAATTTCAATACATAACTGTAAATTATATCATTTTAGATATAGACGAGCTGGAATCGAATTTACAGGTACGTCTTTGATGATACTCCACTTACCATATTAAATATTATTGAATCTTCAGTTGGTCGAGTAGTATGTAATGTCTGATTAATGTCTTTTTTGTTTACTTGTATATGTTACGTGGAACAGAACTTTGAGCATGTAAATCCCGGTAAGTAGCTATATATTGTGTGACTGACTACATGCTAAGAAGAGGTGGATCAATATAAGGCGTTGAATAGTATTGAGTGATGAACATATTATTGGGCATGATTTTTATTGATACACACAAATATACCCTAATAGATATGTGGAAATCATTAAAAAATAACCCATAGTTCACACACAAACATTGATGTACTTTAGATAACACGCCAACTATGTACCTCCAGTAACATATGTTCTAATTTATCGTTTGGCTTTATTGAGTGTCAGTGACATGATCCCCTTTAAATGGTGTTAACTGCTAGTATTTAATCACAAACTAAAGTCACATCATAAAAATGAATGACGAAAAACACTTCTGACAGATAATCGTAACGTGTATATTTACACGGCATTTAGTTACTGTTTTTGTGTGGAGTCGGGACCAGAAACCGCTCAATTAGGCAACAGAAGTAAGTGTCTCTTGAAATATGTGGGGCTACTTCTTCATTCGTCAATAATGCAATTGACTGGCTGGGTCCAGTTTGGACACAGCTCACAAACGGATAGTGTTATGAAATCTATGCAAATTTGGGTCGAAAAATCAAGCCAGAGTCGTAATGGTTAATTAGGTTTGTCGTTGTACTTATTTTTGTTTTCGTCTCGACCCACTGTTGGAGGCAAATGATCAAAGACAATGAGGGCATTTGTAACATAGTTTGTCACGATAAACACTCTTTTACCGGCAATTTCATTTTGTGTTTTTTTCAGTGTTTCTCAGAATCAATGGAAAAAAATAATGCTACATACAATACCAGGACCCCGTGTATTTCCTGTTCAAACGCAGTGCGCATGACCCATAATAGTGAATATAAACATACCATGTATAGAAATGTGCATGTTCACGAGATTAACTGAATAAATACAATGAGTATCTGCTTATGAAATCAAAATGTATATGTAATGCTACAAAACACACTTTATCCGCTTACCAACATTCATATACCATCCATTCATTTTCAATAAGAATTGTTCTACTTACTAAAACATACAATATTATGCTGTAAAGTAATGTTACCTTATTAATATGCAAATCAGCGTTATCCCAAGCACTGTTGCCAATGGCATTGGACAAGATATATGACTATAATACAACAGATGACAATATAAGGTCATATGACTTTAGCAGTATGTGAATATTCGTCAGCTCTAGACTAAGTGCTGTTGGAGACAGTAGCACGCAACAAATACAATGCAGTCTCAGTCCATCCGGCAATTGTACAGCAAACCCATGGTCATGCTACAGTTAAAGACTATCAGAAGACTATTTTATTAACCAGAATTGTGTAATTCCCATAAATACACATTCACACTGTCTGTGGACATCTCAGGCTGAACACGCTGACCTATAATTCATAGGCTCTGTCTGACAACTGTTTTTAGATAAGTTGTACGGCGCAGAACACGTTTTATTACTATGTGTATAATAATAATATATGTTGTTGTTCATCTTCGAGATTTGTTAACTCTATTTTCAACTTAAAAGCTAGGTATGATACAAATGTTTCGTGGGCCATATCTGTATTCATTTTGAAAATATACACTCGCACATTCACAAGCTTCAACGAGCACCTGCAGCATAGTGGTTATTACGTTCCCATCACGCATCTATAGTGCTGCCTGTTTTACGGGAATACTCTTCTCATAATATTCAGAAGTGATCGACTATCGCGAATGGAATGTTTTCCAAATTTGCTGACGTTCAACTCTCCTAAAGTTATACGACTCTCGAAGTGGCAAAGCAAATGCCACTCCTTAATACCAGAGACTATACAGCGGTTGACGCCACTGGCTGTATTAGGTTTTATAATCGCATCACATTTATACACCATTAGCCGCCACACTGAATTATTGTTGAAGAAGCACTTCTTGATACAAAAAATCTACCTGGGTAGTTAAATAGAAACACGTCTGCATGAAGACGAATTATCAGGGCTTTCAAATGACTATTTCTCTGCTTGCAATGACCAACACAATTTGCAAATAAATTCAATCGTGCAACATGCAAAGACCATGATAAATAAGACCCTGGAAATGATTTTGAAGACCATTACTGAGTGACAAAGTGGGAAAAAATGTTAAAATGATAAAATAGATGTTATTTGGCCACAAAACAACACACTGAAACAACATATAAATCACGTGAAGATAGCATGATGAATTAGAATTTTACTGGTATGAGTTGTCATGTCAACATATACAACGATATGCAGGTTCGTGGGCACTTGGGAGTGAAATTGTTTGTTTTGCTTTTTATTATTCAAACAGTCTTGGCTATAGACTGTTAACATTTTGTAGAATTGTGAATAGTGGAACATACTCAAAAACTGATTTTAAAATATAGATAACCTGTGCAAACATTCTCTCTTTTGAATGGTTAGCAAGATTTAGCAAGGCTGTACATGAATAATAAAAAAGAAACATGGTGAAAAAAAGAAATGACGGGATTTCCATATTATGCATTATATTCAACGTTTAACAAAACGATAATACATTTAAATTTGGAACTGTTACAGCAATTTTAATTATGAGCATTAGCAAACTTCTTACTGAGTGAATTGTTATGCAAATTAGCAATTATCTCAGCTTCTTTTTAGTGCACATCCCAGAACTTTAAAAAATAGCTCCTAGACGCTTCGACCTTTTGTTTTGTAATTTTCACAAATGATTGACAATGTGTTTATCTTCAAAACGCCGTCGGGGCATTGTTTTTAGTTGAACAGTGTTACAACAATCGTACAGACAACTAGCCTGGGTGTTAATTTATGCATAAACTTGAAGTAGTGAAATTTGAGCTGCTGCCCTGCAAAATTGACAACTGGTAGACAGTTTTCAAGACGGCACTTTCTTCATAGTAAATAGATGTACCCATAAACCAATTTTAACAGGAAACAGAAACATGGTTTAGAAGCTATTTTTTTAATCACTTTTAACCAAAAAAGCACATTTTTGTGCATATTTCAAACTACACTGTCCATAAAGAAAATACTAACAATTTGTAAAATTCATACAATAAGCTTTCTGAAAATATATAGTTTTGTGGACATCTTGGTTTCCTAATTAACTAATTAAAATACCTGTAAGGTAAACTGCATCTCTACCTTAAGACTGAGTAGGGGAGGGAGTATGATGGAAATTAAGAAAGTCAGGAAACCCCCCTTCTGAACTAGAATTTTTGTTGTTGTGAGTTGGCCGTGTGCAATACGGAGAGGAAATCAGCATTCTTTCACATGTGGGCTGAGATAATGAAATCACTGACGATGGAAAAATGTCTTTTTTATAGCTTTCTCACGTACAATATCGGTACTTAAGATGAAAGAATGTTCATTCGAATGCATACTTCCTCATGGGTGTCTGCCATCAGATCCATAGGGAGGTATCCGTGAGGTTCTTTGATGAAATTTAATGTTTCCGGGGGTACATTTGCTTAGCCAGAATTTTAACTTGTGACGCATCCCTCGAATTTTTAAACACGAAAGGTAGTGGGTGTTGAGAATGATGGTACTCGATTGTCTGTCCTGATGTAATAGATTTTGCAAAAACAGTATCAC